CTGCACTGCCCCAAACCTCCCCAGAGCCACAGCACACGTGGCTGCTGCTCAGAATCAGCTCAAACCATCCCATTCCCAGGTTTGGGAAATGGGGGCACCCCAAGGATACCAGGCTATGGCAGGGGGGGTGAGGATGGCAATGGAAGCCCTGAGCCCACAGCAGGGCAATCACAGCTTGGCCCCTCCTGAGACCCCCCCAGACCCAAAGCACTGCCCCCTGCACTGGGAAGGTTTCCCAGGATGGGGCTGAGCTGCTCTTTGGGATGGAGGAAGGGCGTGTTCCCTGACACAGCACCAGGAATTAGGTCAAGCAGAAGGCAATTCCTTGCTGGGAGCTGGCCTGGGATCACAGGACTCTGTCCTGACCTGCAAGGATCCAGGTTATCCTAAAATACATCCTGGGAGTGGCATCACCTCCCTTCACAGCCCAATGACAAGTGACAAGGGTGTCCCTTCACACTGACAGTGACGCTGGAACTTTTTGGGAATAAGGGTGCAAGGGCTTGGTTTCAGCAGCTTAAAATGGAGCTTCTCTTGCTGGTAGGCAATGGAGAAGGGGACATTCTTTTCCCAGCTGTTTGTTAATCCAAGCACCACCTTTTGTCCATCTGCCATGTTTCACTGAACACATGGATTGTGCATTCCCTGGAGCAAGAACTGTCTTCCCCATTACTTGTCAGCACAGCATTGGACACAAAGGAAGCCTCAGCCCATATCTGGGTTTTTGTAAGGCTTCTCCAGAACAATCAGGGCAGCTTTGTGTAAATCCACATTCCTCTCCTCCAACTATTTTCTGGACACAGTGGGGGTTGGTCACTGCTTGGAACAGTGCACAAGTCCAGGTCCTGCCAGTCTGGATGAAATTTTCTGCAGCAAAGTGCAATAATGTACATTTTGGTACATTTCCCACACCTAACCTTCATATAATTTATCAACAAGATCAAACTTCAGCTCATTTGCACACCCTGGATGTGGCTCCACCTTCCAACCTATGACTCCTATGATTTGTTCCTCCACTGGCTGAGGTGACTCAACGACTCCTTTCATCATTCAGCCTCTTTTAGAACTAATAACACAGCTCAGAACAAATTCACAGTCAGCTCATCAGCGACTTCTGAAGACCAGACAGAACCTTCTGCGTCTTCACAGCAGAGAGAGGAGAAAAAAAAAAAAAAAAAGAATAAAAGAAATGAGGACAGGAAGAGCCTGGAATGCCCTTTCTACAGAATTAGAGGTGAAAGAACCAGACTGGCTTAAAAAAAAAAAACAAAAAAAAAAAAAAAACAGACACAAACCAGGGAGGGAACACACTGGGAACCTTTTCCAGACCCAGGTGGGCACTGACCTACTGCATCTGCAGCACCAGGCTCTGCTTTGAGCTGGGCAGGCTGGGGGGGCACAGGACTGCTGTTGTTTTTCACAGTGTCTGTGCTTGTAACAGAGGTAGTTTCTTTCCGAGAAACTTTTGATACCGGGGGCTCCTCCACGGCCATCCCGCTCTGCCGCTGCCGCCGCCGCTTCTTGCTCCACAGCTCGTGGCAATCCTGCCAGTGGGGGAGGCTGAAAAGAGAGGGAAAAACATGGCAGGGAAAACAAGGAAATGCTCAGAACCCACAGCGAGCCCTCAGTGCAGCCCAGAGAAGCTGTGAGTGTCCCTGGAAGTGTCCAAGGGCAGGTTGGATGCGGGTTTGGAGCAGCCTGGGATGGTGGGAGGTGTCCCTGCCCCTGGCACTGGATGGGGTTTAAGGATGCAGTTTTGTAGATCCATGCAATGTTGCTCCACTTTTACAGATGGAGAAGACTCGGGAAGGGATTTTGGGAAGAAATTCCTCCCTGTGAGGGTGCTGAAGGGCTGGAATGGGTTTCTCAGAGAAGCTGGGAAGTGTCCAAGCCACGTTGGAGCAAGCTGGGATAGTGAAAGATGTCCCCCATTCAAAACTGGAGGAGTTTTAAAGTCCCTTCCAACCAAACCATCCTGGGATTCCATGATCCCTGACTGCAGCCAGACCAGCACAGGAAGGGGCAGGTCCTAGAGCCAGGAAAGGCAGTGTAAAAATCATTTACTTGCACTGGGATCTCATCCCTGAATGTGCTGGGGTCTCACTGCAGGGCACACAAAACCAAGGAGAGCAATTCCATCAAGCTCTGGAGTTTGGGAGCGTTAGGAAAGGCCCTTCCTTGAGAAACACTGAAGCAAACGGGGATCTCAAAAGCTGTGGCTGCATTTTCACACAGACCAGGCATAGTTTTATCATCTGCTTGATTGGAGTGAGAGAAAACTGAGTGACACTGCTCAACCTTGGCAGTCAATTAACACACAGCCTTAATGAGGCCTGAGCAGCTCTCCATGGCAGAGATGGGGCTGTGCTACATCTACTCCTGCACACAGAGCACACTCCTGCTTTAGAGCATCTCACAAACATTAAACTGGGCTTTATAAACCCGGCACAGGAAAAGCCATTTGCTCAACCACATGACCAAATACAAGGGCAGAGATGAGAGAAGAACCCAGAAATCATAATTTTCACTGAAAAAACCACCTTGTCTGCCTCCCAAGGCTCATGGTGGGGGGTGGCAGCTGGGACTTACTCTGGAGGTGCCATTTTGCTGAGGTCAACGTCCTTCAGGAAGTCACTGTGCAGGGCCTGCTCTGCTGTGCAGCGTTTGCCAGGGTCCAGGGTCAGCATGTGGTCCAGCAGGTCCAGGGCAGACGAGGGGATGCTGTGGGGAGAGTGGGGAAAACATGGATGAGTTCCTGGAAAATGTGTGGAAAAGCTCAGTGTCAGAGGGACACCTCAGGCCTAAGGGGAATCCACACAGCCACAGTTCAGAGATGCAGCAGCAGGGCAGGAACCAGGAGTGGCTGGAGCTGTGCCTGGGAGGTTTAGGATGGATTTTGGGAAAGGTTCTTCCCCCCCCCCCCAGAGGGTGCTGGGCACTGAACAGAGTCCTCATGGAATGGGCACAGCCCTGAGCATGGCAGAGCTCCAGGAGAGTTTGGACAGGGTGGGAATTCTGGGGTGTCTGTGCAGGGCCAGGAGCTGCACTGGATGATCCCTGTGGGTCCCTCCCAGCTGAGGATATTCCATGATATTTCCACTCTATATTTTGGCATTTATGAGAAGCACCTCTGCCACAACTGCCACCAGATTATTTCACAGCCCAGAACCCTGAGAGTTTTGAACTTTCTGTGCTTTCTAACACTGACCCCCAGAACACTGCTTCTGACTTAAAGCCTTGGAAAAGGCTTCCAAACTTGAGTGATGAAGTTAAAGTCACGAGTGTGTAGTCAAAATAAAAATGTATAATTTCACATAGTGAAAGGTTTTAAATTTAATGCTTTTAAAAATATAGTAATAAATACGAGACAAAAATAAAAGTTCTTGGGCATTGTCTCTTTCAGTCTTCTTCCCCCTTCTGACCAAGAGAACATCCCCATCAAGTTCCACACTTCCAAGAGGGTTCCCAGTGCACCCTCAGCCCCAGGGAACCTCTCTGGAGGGAAGATGAGGGGTTTGGTGATGGGAAAAGGGAGCTCAGCCCCCTGAAGTTCCACAATTCCAGGAGAGCTCCCAGGGCAGTCCCCAACCCCAGGGAACCTTTCTGGGAGCAGATGAAGGGTTTGGAGAGGGGACAGAACCCAGCCCAGCCCCAGAGAACCTCTCTGGAGGGGGTGAAGGGTTTGGAGAGGGGACAGAGAGCCCAGCCCCCTGTTCCACACTCCCAGGAGGATTCCCAGCCCAGTCCCCAGCCCCAGAGAACTTCTTTGAGGTGTTTGAAGAGGGGACAGAGAGCCCAGCCCCAGAGAATCTCTCTGGAGGTGGCTGAGGGGTTTGGAGAGGGGACAGTGATCCCAGTGCAGCCCCCAGCCCCAGGGAACCTCTCAGAGGGGTTTGGAGGGGGCACAGAGCCCAGCCCAGCCCCAGGGAACCTCTCTGGGGGGTTTGGAGGGGGCACAGAGCCCAGCCCAGCCCCAGGGAACCTCTCTGGGGGGTTTGGAGGGGGCACAGAGCCCAGCCCAGCCCGTGGGGACTCACAAGGAGAACTCCTCACGCAGGCGCCGCCGGTATTGCTTCTTGGGCTTCATAGTGTTGAAGTAGGGCAGCTTGATGACATCTGGCCACACTGCCGGGCAGGGGCTCCCACAGAGCCGGCTGGGGAGCAGGGAAACACGGTCAGCCAGGTGGAACACAGCCACCAACCCCAGGGAAAACATCTCTCAAACAGGAATAACCCAGGGCTGGGCACAGCTCAGATGAGGTGTTGAAAAGGGAGGTATTGGGAAGAGGAAAATGCTGAGCTTGAGTTTATAAACCATTTAAAACAATTATATTTTATTTTTCTTACTATAGATTTTAATGTTTTTTACTTTAAGCTTTCCAAACTCGCTAAATTTTAGTATTTTTACAGTAAGAGTGGTGAGGCTCTGGCAGAGGTTGCCCAGAGAAGCTGTGACCACCCTGGCAGTGTCCAAGGCCAGGTTGGTCAGGGCTTGGAGCAACCTGGGACAGTGGGAGGTGTCCCTGTCCACGTCAGGGCTGGCACTGGATGGGATTTAAGGTTCCTTCCATCCCAAACCATTCCAGGATTCAAACTTCCAGTGTGAGAAGCAATTCAGGTTTGTGATTTTTGCACTCAGCAAACAGCAAGGTTTACTGAGGGTACATAAATCAGCACCCACACACCTGATGCAGGTGTGGACACCTGACTATTCCCATTTGCATTCCTAGGCATTCCTGATCCTTTTTTTTTCCAGGCAGGTGAGAGAACGAGGGCCCTCCTAACTCGCTGCCTGTGTGCACGAGCAGCTCCTGCAGCACCTCCCCTCACAGACATGCATGTGCAAAGCTTTACCTGATTAATTCAAGCTGAGCCAGTTCCAGATTGGCTTGAAAAATAGGCTTCTTTGTAAACAGTTCCCCGAGGATACAGCTGGAAGGAGGAAAAGCAAGAGGTCACGACAGCAAACCCTGGGGATGAGCGTCTGAACACGGCAGCGTTTGTGCCGGGGAGCAGCTTTGCCCGAGGAGAGTGATTTGCATCAGGGCTTGTAGTGACAAAGTGACCTGTGTGTATGGAGTCCCCAGCCCCGGGCTCCTGGGAATCACCTCCTGCAAGTGGCTGCTCTGTGCAGGAAGCCCCTGACACGTTAACTCTTTGCAGGGAAAGGAGGATGTGTCAATGTGACAGGAGAAAAGAGCTCAGAGCTCTCGTTTCCTCCAGGTTCAGTTTTTGTTTGGGTTTTCAACTTCCCTCTGTTGGCCCAAGCCATCCCCAGCTGCCTGTGAGGAGCTGGGTTTGTGCACACAGAGCTCTTGTACAGCTGGGAGGGAAAGAGGAGAGAGGAAGAACCTCTGAGCCCTCAACATCTCCCCTTAATCCACCAGGAATCAGTGCCAGAAGTCACTGGGGGATGCAGGCTGGAATGGGAATAACCCCATGCATGTGGAACAGGAACTGAGCAGCAACTGGGCCTCACAATCACAAATTATTATTAATTACTGGTTTTCCCAATCTCTCTTTGTGTTATAAACCCTGCTGAAGGAACATCCCAGTGGGATGTGCACACTCTGGGGAATTCAGCCTCTTGGGAAAATGTTCCACCTTTGTGGCTGAACTGCCCAGACTCCTGTTCCCCAGGCTTCCTGTACCACTGAAACTTCCTGAAACATGAAATCTCCACTTAGAAATGTTTTAGCTGAAAAAAAGAAATAGTGGTAACCAAAAACTTGAAGAGGTTAGAGAAAAATTCTCTAAAAAATACACTGATGGAGTGAGCAGCACAGAGCAAATGTGCCACTCTTCCAGGGCTGTGTCACCCCTCTTGATCTCAAGGGAACATCAACATCAGATTGATTTCCATTTTAAATAATGAAAAAATTATTTTTTACCTTTTCTCATTTCAAAACCAAGTGAAATAGTTTTGAAAACTCCTTTTGAAAACTTTTTAGAACTCCTCATTCTAGGAGATTTCCTAAGTGGTTTTAACGAGGGGACACATCCTGTCCCACACAGCACAGCACTGTGCAGCATTCCTGTCTCATCCTGACACCCTGCACAGACCCAGCTGTGGGAATTGGCCCAGATGAAGGAGCAGCTGCCCCAGGAATGCTCAGGAGCTGGGATCAGCCCAGCAGGACTCACCCACAGCTCCACACGTCGATGGCAGGGGTGTAACGCTCCTCCCCCAGCAGCAGCTCCGGGGGTCGGTACCACAACGTGATCACTTTGTTGGTGTAGGGACGGCTGCAAACAAACAAACAAAAAAAAACCAAATAAAAACTCGCCACAAAAGCCTGAAAAAGTGCTCCTTTTTACCTCCCAGATGCACTTACACCTGCTGGTGGCAGCAGGGGGGGAATTTCAAGTGTCTGCACTTCCAGAGCTCCAGGCTGAGTTAAAAACAGCTGAGGAAGTACCATGGATTTTAGAGGATTTTACAGGAATCAGGATTTGTTGTAGGTACCCAGGATTGAAAATCCCTGACCCTCAGCAGGCTGCCATCACTGAACAGTGACTGATCTTGGAGCAAAACCTGCTCCAGGGCAGGTCAAGGGCAAGCAGAGAAGAAATTTTGGCTCCTTCTGAGCTGCTCTTCTAATGAAAAGTTATTAACACCAGCCAGGAGTGTATTTGTCCAATAGCTGGATGATACCACTGAAAATAATCTTTCAGGACTTCCAAGTGAGGGATGATGTGGATATTAAGAAGAAAAACTCATCCCACCCTGATAAACCCCTTCCCCTTCCTCACCTCTCCTCTGAGCTGTAGAGTCGGGCAAGCCCAAAATCTGCAAGTTTGATCTGCCCACTGAAAGACAAAAAAACAGCCCCTGGTTTAAATCACAGAATTATGGAATGCATTGAGCTGTCAGGAATCCATCAGAACCCAACTCCTACTTAAATCCCAGTTAAAGGGTGAGGAAACCCCCTCCACTGCAGCACAAAAGCCTCACAAAGCCACGTTTGCAGGAATTACTGCTGGATATGCCAGGCTGAATTCTCCCCCTCTGACTGAATGCTTCAAAGAAATATAAAGTTAAAAAAAAAAACCAAAAAGCACAAATAATTCAGTGTCATCTGTACCACAAACCCTTCCCAACAGGCCAATATCCCAGAGAATTATTTCAGGTGAATATTCAGACATTTGGTTGTAATTATGGCCAAAATTCTCCTCACACCTCCTGCTCCTGAGCACACCCAAGGTGAGGACAGCACTGAGTGCTCACACCTAAACCCCAAAAAATGAACCTTGGAGAGATGTCCAGGTGGATCCACTGCCAGGTTACCTGTTGTTCAGTAAGATGTTGGAGCACTTGATGTCTCGATGAAGGAAATTCTTTTTGTGACAGTAATCCAGACCCTCCATTAACTGTTTCATGAAAGACTTGATATGGTCCTCTGAGAAATGTACCAAGCCAGATTCTAGCAGCCCCATTAGGTCATGGTCCATGTACTCAAACACAAGGTAAAAGGCACCTGGGATAATAAACAGAGAAATGGTTGAAAACAACAGGAGAGACACAAAAATGAGGAGGAATGAAAGGAGATTCAATTGTTGAAAGAGATTTTATTTTGCACAATTCTGCTGGAATTGTTGGGTTTTGTTACCAGTCCTGTGTTGTTTTGGATTTACTGGGTGTCTTTTTCCCTCAAAGGGTAAAAAAAACCCCCCAAAACAATAAAGAAGTCCCACCAAGCTGATACCTGAGATTAAATATACACTCAAAATAAATTCCTCTGAAGTTCTGGCTACGTTTACCTCCATGCTTTGGTTATTTTCTTACAAGAGAATTTGTTGAAGGATCACTGCCATGCATGGTTTGAACTTGTGTTTGGGTTGTTCCTTTCTCCCTCCTGGTAGGAAAAATCCCAAACAAGAGCCAATGGGATGCTAAAACTCTTTTTCCACAGTGACTGAGGACAAAGAACTTTTCACACTATTAGTAAGTTTGTTACCACTAATCAGTGTTAAAAGTGACCCTGTAAAGGCTTTTTTTTTTTTTTAAGATTGCTCTCCTGTGACTCTGTTTGATCAACTCAAGCTGGAATCTGTTTTTTGATGTGAGGCCAGAGCACCGTAGGGAGAACACAAAGCAGCAAAACTACCCCAGAACTGAGTTTTACACTAAACCATCATCTGAGGTTGAGTGGACACCACCCCTGCAACCTTTGTACCTTTGTCCTTCTTGAAATCCAGTGCATCTTGTTTGTCTGTGACGATCTCCTTCATGTTGACCACGCTGCGGTGGATGAGCTGCCGCAGGATTTTGATCTCGCGGATGGCCGTGATGGGGAATCCTTCCTTCTCATTGTCCAGGCGCACCTTCTTCAGAGCCACCAGCTCACCTGCAGGGCACAGCGGGGTCACAGCCTGCTCAGGGAGGTTTGGAGCAGCTCTGAGCATGGAAAAAATGCTCATCAAAGCAGCTTCAGTTGCCTCCCTGTTCATTTTTAGTGAAATTTCTCTGCTAGGAGTTCTCACACGACACCGGTGATTCTCCTAACCTGCTCCACCACAAAGAGGGAAGAGAAGTTCAGGCTGGAATTTCCCAAACTCTGCTGCAATCAAGTCTGACAATTTCAAAAGCACGAGTTCAGCTGGCACCTGTGATCACCACAAACTTCTGACCAGGTGTCAAACCCCACCCCAAGATCTCACCAGCAGTGCAGAACCTGAGCACTAAACTCAAGATTCCAGAGCTCCTGCTTTTCTTCACCTGATGGAAGGGCTGGAGTGACTCCTGCTCCTGCAGGGAGACCCAGCAAGCCTGGAGGAGGGAGTGAGCTGGAGCCAGGCTCACCTGTGTCCTTGTCCTTGGCTTTGTAGACCTGCCCGTAGGTGCCCTCTCCGATGATCCCGATGATGTCGAACTTGTCCACGCAGCGCTTGCCCCAGTCACTCTCTGTCTGCCTCCTCTCCCCATAGCGAGGACAACAGATTCTGCACGAGGGAGGACACCTGTGACACACCTCACCACCAAAAAAACACACCTGCTCCACCGTGTTCAACCCTAAAACACAAGCTCAGGCACCTTGGCTGTGCACTCCAAGAATTGGAATGTTCAGTTTAATGTGATTTTGATGTATAATTCTAACTACTCCCAATGCAGGCACTGCTAGAAATATTATCCTGGATGGCATCATTAAATTACAGCAGGACAAAAATGAACGTCTGGGATGTTTTGTAGGATGCTGGATGTTTGATTTTTATTTAAAACACTCTGCACAAAACATCAGGGGATTTTGCTCCCTCAACAACTGCTTCAGTTTGTCATCAGGGGAAGTCCTCCATGCCTTGAACATGGAATCCCAGAGTGGTTTGGGTTGGAAGGGACACAAAATATGATCCAGTGCCACCCCTGCCATGGGCAGGGACACTTTCCACTATCCCAGGGTGCTCCAAGCCCTGTCCAGCCTGGCCTGGGACACTTCCAGGGATCCAGGGGCAGCCACAGCTGCTCTGGGCACCCTGAGCCAGTGCAGCTCCATGGCCAACACTTCAGTCATTGAGTGCATGAAAAATCCAAACCTCCCATTTGGAACAAACAACTTTTGAAAGCAGCAAGAGCTTTATGAGGAGATGCCCATCCAGAGGTTTCTTCTGGCTAAATCAAAGAGGGGGCAGATGTGGCTGAAGATGGGATATGACACATTCCAGCAACTTCTACCATTAATTCTCAAATTAATGGGGCAAACTGCCTTTAGCTGAGGGTCCAAACGTGAAACAACTCACAGGAAACAGTCATTACACTGAATAATACAGAAATAGGAACTTGTTTCCTCTCCCATCTCACTTCCCTCAACATTAAAAGCTCTCAAACCTTAAGAGACATAAGAAACTCAAAGATTAAAGCAAAGAAATGAAGCCAGCCTTACTTTGGTCTCTTTTTGAAGGGTTGCTGAGGTGGTGTGGCTGCCTTTGGTTCTGGGGAGTCAGGAGGAGATGGGTCCCCCCCAGGGAGCTCGGGGGGGAGCGGGAGGTCCGTGAGTAAGTGTCGTGGTCTCTGCTCTCTGTCTTTCTTCACAGGTTTTGGAGGAAGAATCTCTTTAGGACTAAACTCCGAAAAGTTAATACAACACAAAAGTCAGACTCAACAGCCAGTTAAATAAACAACAAAGTTACTGCAGGACAACAGCTCTGGTTGACAATGTGAGGTTTAAAGTGTTCAAATTAGCATTTTCAAATATGAAATAAAACAGCTTCGATTCACAATGCTAATACAGCAGGAGAGAAAAGTGTCAGAGTGGAACTCGTCATGAAATGAACACACAGGTCTGCACTAGAACTTGCTCAATTGGCACTGATCAGTACCAGTAATTCAGAATTTCCTGTGAGGCAGCCCAGGGGATCAGCCAGCACTCACTTTCTGATCTTTACTTCCCCTATTTATTCCATTTATCACCACGAAATGAAGTGTTTCACGTGGTGAGGACCACGATAAATACAGACCCAGAGTTCAACAAGGAACTTGTAACCTCTTAACAAGGACTGAAACGTGGCTTCAACTCCTGAATGCTGCTGAGGAACCAAAAGTTGATTTTTTTTTTTTTTCCATCCAATTACCAAGCATCAGGAGTTTGGTTTAGGCTGGCAGGAGCAGAACCTGCTTTCCCTTTCATGTGTTCAGTGAGGAGAGCTCCTAGGTTTGAGTAGTCACGAATTCTCCATGCAAATCTCTGCTTCACCAGGAAAAGGAAAAAAAATTAAGAGATCCAAACAGCTCTCCCAGGTCTGTTTTTAGGGCAGGGAGCAGGTTTGGTGTTTGTACCATCAGGTCTAACACTTCAAAAAAATGAACTGATGGAAGTAGGTCATTTTCCCAATTATTTTATAAGACACTGCCTAATCTGCAAGACAATCTCTTGTGAAATCTGCTTAAGGAAGGAGGAAGACAAAAAACACCAGAAATGGGAGAGGTGGAGGGGCTGAAACTCTCCCCTCATGGACAGCAAAATTTTTAGGAGCAGAATAATTGTGTTCAAATATCTACAGAGAATCACATGGAATTGTTAAGGCTGGAAAAGATCAAGTCCAACCAGAACACTGCCACATTCACCACTAAACCAAAAAAAAAAAACATTCATCTTTTTCCAGACACCCCTCAAAAACAAATTCTTTGTAAGATCATGGTGGGAAGGGCAAAGCTGTGTCTGGAGAGTGAACCTGCAGTGCCTTTTTCACCAAAAATTCCCATTCTCTTGCCTTTTATCTGCTCACTTCTCTATTTGCATAGCAGCACTTGGTTCCTCTAAGCTCAGTTCCCCCAGGACACCTGGGCTGGTCACCAGGGGGGGGAGGAAACCAAACAGAGCTTTCAGAGCTGCCCAAGCAGAGAAAAGACCAAGAGTGAACAGCAAGAACACAACAAAGGCTCCTTGGAGCTCCTTGGCTCCTCTGAACCAGCAGGAGTGGCACCCCTAAAGCCAGCAGGAGTGAGTGGCACCCCTAAAGCCAGCAGGAGTGAGTGGCACCCCTAAAGCCAGCAGGAGTGAGTGGCACCCNGAGTGGCACCCCTAAAGCCAGCAGGAGTGAGTGGCACCCCTAAAGCCAGCAGGAGTGAGTGGCACCCCTAAAGCCAGCAGGAGTGAGTGGCACCCCTAAATCCTGCAGCTTTGCCAGCAGCCAGCTGAGTGCTGTGCTCCCAGGAAGCTGCACCAAACCAGGACAAAATTGGTACCAATTCCTCCTAAACAGCTTTTCCTCCTCTCCTGGTGAGCTAGCCAGGCCTAAAAGCATTGCAGGAGGGGGGGAATTGTGGAGAGGTGAAGGAGTCTCCCCTTGAACGAGGTGTGGGCTGTCCTTGGACACTGCAAAACCCAATTTCCAGCCCTGTATTTGCCACGGGCTTGGGGCTGGAACTTTCCCCAGGCTCAGCAAGGACAAAAGTCCAGCTCAAAGAGTTTTGCTCATAAAAATGAAGGCAGCTGGTGAAGGGTGAGATTCTGCACAGTCAGGGCCACATGGAATTGCCACCAGACTCAGCAAAACAAATGGGATTTCCCATCCTTTTATTGGGAAAAAGTCACACAGAGCCATTTACTGAGCCCCAGCATCACCCCAGCCCTGAGGTCAGGGATAAAACACTCCTACAGAGCTAAGCCACACCTGGTGGAAAAAAAGAGACAGCTCTAGGTGCAAATGGTTGAAAAAATAAAATAGAATTTTGCAGGATAACTTCTGGGATTGGAAAGGAGGGAACACTGCAGCAGGATTTGCTTTGCCTGGTATTTGGGCTGGGAAAATCAGCAGGGAGTTGAAAGCTCCTGCTCAGCACAGGGACATTAAAACCAGGAATATTTGCTGAACAACATCACACAGCTCAGGGAGGGCAACAAACACACATCAGGTTCCCTTTTAGGTTGGAGGCAGTGAGAACACTTCCCTGATTGCCATCAATACCAGAATCATCCACGAGAATAAATTCAGTTATTCAGAATATGTAACACTTCAGCACAGGGTGATTGTATAGAGTCAGAACTGTGGGATACCACACAGGTCACTAAAAATGTGATTTACTCCCCAGTCCCAGCACATCTTTAGTGATGCCTGGGAAGATAGAGGAGTTTAGAGGAACTACAGGCTGAGTAGGTCAAGGAAATAATAAAAAAAAAAGTATCAGCGATGACCTTAAGTTAACAGCACTGCAACATATTAACAGCTAGAAAAGGAGAGAAAAAAAAAATAAGTATCCGGGTTTTTTTTTTCCTTCTCCACTCTCTTCTGGATATTCTGCTCCTTTCTTCCCACCAAATGAAAATCCCAGAGCGGGGTTTTCAGACAAGCTCATCACAGAAGCCACAACCATCCCCACCCAGCCAGAACTACAATTACAGGACAGAGCCAAGTCTGCATGTTTTGATCAGAAATGATCAGGAAATAAAAGTTGAAGCAGGTGCAGTTTCACTCATTTTTGAACTTTCTCAAGCAAACAATTCCCACTTCTCCAGCAATAAAGGACTGCATCAATTACTCAAGAATTAAGACAATACTCAAGTTAAACCAAAGCTGGTTTTTACACGTGGGCATGGCCTGTGTAGCTGGTGAATCTGGAACAGAAAAAGCTCTGGTTTGTGCTCTTGTATTGGAATTGTTATGATTTTTCCTGTTCCTAAAGAATCAAGCAAACAAAAAACCTGTAATTTTAAAGTAAATGTGCAAACAGCTCCAACACAGAGGCAAAATCCCAGCGCCACATTCCACCCCTGTAATAACCATGAGGAAGGAGTGATGTGAAACCTTTGCCAAGCAGCAGCCAAACCTCGTGTTCCCCACAGAGATAAGAGGTAACAACCTGCACGAGGCCATAAAAGTCTCCACACAAACCTGGCAGGGCCAACACCTGGAACAGCCCTGGCTAACTCCTTCACACCAACACCACAGCTGTAACTCTGCAGGATTACAACTGTAAAATTAACCCCCCTCCCAAAAAAAAAAAACCCCAAAACCCTCCTTAATTCAAAGCTTTGCTCTTAAATGCAAAGGGGATGCTCTGGTGTGACCTTACCTATCCAAGTCATCTTCCCCAACTAAAATAGGGGGGAGCGGAAGCGGAGGCAAGGTGGAAGTTTTCAGGTGTGGGATAGCAGCCGTCACAGACACTTGGGTTTTTGTAGCCACCTGGACAGAGGACTGGGAGTTCACCTGAGAGGATAAAGTAGACGTCCTTGGGTGGGAAGAAGATGGCAAAGACGTTGGGGCTGAAGGAGGGGCCTGAACAGGAGTCACTGGGGCTGGAGGCAGAGGAGGGGCAGCGGGTGACGGAGGCAGCGGCGGCAGCGGCGGCGTGGGAGGCGGAGGGGTGGTGGTGGGCAGAGGCGGAGGAGGGGATTTGATGGCTGGGAGGGGAGGTGGAATCTCCTTCTCCGCTGTGTCTGTCTCCTTTGGAGATACCAGGTCCTCTACCACTGCTACAGGCTTCGAGTCTTTTGTTCCCGTGGGTTTGGAATCCCGAACTGGAACAGGATGTTTCCTCTCCGAGTTCTCCTCTGCCTTGGATTTCGTCGTCTCCGCAGGGGCTTTAGGCTCTGTGTTTGTGTACAGTAAATTAACCGAGTCTGTATCCGGAGCTTTCTCACATTTAACAGTTTTGGTGATCTTTTTAGACTCTGTCCCAGCCTCTTTCAGTTCAGCCAAGCTGTTCTCCTTCCTAGCCAGGAAAACAGGGGAGCCTTTCGCCTCCTTCCCGTCCACCTTGGCCGCGGCGGCTGCGGCGGCCGCTCGCTCCTTCTTCTTCCTGCTGAGCTCTGCTCCCAGGCTGGAGTTCAGTGGGAGCCTGCTCGGGGAGATGCTGGAATGGCGACTGCGGGAGCCAGACCTCTGCTTTTTGCTGTGAGATGAGTGTCTTGAATAGCCAGGACTGCGGCTCCGGGACTTGACAGATTTCCTGCAGAGAGAAATGAAACGGAGCTTTTGTCACCCTCTGAGCCGCTCAGCAACAGCTGGATGCAGAATTGGTCAGCTCAGAGTTCACAGCACCTGGCACGAGAGACTGAAGCTACTGGAAGGAGTTTCTGAGTCAATCAGGAGCAATTTTATACCATCATCATCATCATCATCATCATCATCATCCACCCTTCCTGTGCCAGACCCACGGTCACAGCAGGAAAAGAAGGGAAGGATCAAGGCTGGACAAACCCCAAGGGAAAGAGATCACAGCTCACACACCCAACAGGAGACTTCAGTCAAGAGGATGAGCTGGCAGTTCAGGAATATCTCACAGGAATTATGTGCAACTTTAAAGGAAGCCATGGATAAAATACAACTGTCCTCACAGGAATGCTGCCTCAGGAAATCGAGCTCGTTTTACCCACCTGGTTCTTTTACTGCCATCAGAACTCAAATTCGCATAGCGTGATTTGGAAGAAGGAAAAAAATGAAACCCAGGGATTTTAACTCTATTGGTCTTGGTCTTCACGTACAAAGAATGGGCTCTAAAATATCTGCTGGGAAAGAAGTGAAGCAGGAAACACCTCACACCATCAGGGTTCCCTCCACATGAACCTGCTCAGGAGAGAGGGGAAACCAGATCGACACTAAAATGGAAGTGGAAACTGGAGCTTCCAGGGCTCATATCAAACTCCTGATAAGCCAGAACTGTTTCCTCCACTCCAGGAAGAATGAGGACTGGGCAGGGTGAGGCAGGAGGCTTGAATGGTGTGGTGGGCTCTGATGGCAACAGGACAATCAAAAATTCTGAGTTCAGACCCTGAAAACACTGAATTCCCTCAAAACACTCCCACAGTAGTTATAAAACACATTTAACAGCAGCGGCTCAAACACACTAGTTCCCTTGTAACCACACTCAGAACATAATTAACACCACCAATTAGTATTATCCCAAGACAATAAACATTTGGAAAATAAACTGGAGAAGTGAGACAACACAAAGTTCCTGTCCCAGCACCAGCAGCACCCTGCAGGAGGCCCAGGGTGTCCCCAGGGATCAGCATTCCTCTGTCCCACTTGGAACTACAACCCCAAACCTCGTGCTGACTGTTCAGAGAACACCAGGGCTGGAGGTGAGCCCTTACTTTTACACTTGCAAAATAAATATACAACCATGAGGAGAAGAAAGCAGGATTGCAGTCACCCAGCTCTTTCCCTCCTCAACACACTGCTCTGTCATGGCAATGCTGCCTCGGGATCCTTTCTCTTCCCAAGGTTTCTGCTGTGTGAAATGACAGTCTGGGCTGCAGTCTGTGTGTCACCAGGAGCTGGGACAGCAGCTGCACGACATTTCCAGGCTACAGGAAACATTCCTGATGAATCCTGCACGATGTCACCTACTGCACCCACAAACAGATTTGGGGTTAATGTCCCCTTCTGCAATTCATCCAGCATGGATTGTTCAAGATGCTGCAATTCCCTTTTCCTGCTCCCTGACTGACATCCTGCCCCATGATTAACCCCAAGAATTGCTCCAATTCATGGAATCATGGAATGGTTTGGGTTGGAAGAGATCTCAAAGCTCATCCAGTGCCACCCCTGCCAGGGCAGGGACACCTCCCACTGTCCCAGGTCACTCCAAGCCCTGTCCAGCCTGGCTTTGGGCACTGCCAGGGATTCAGGGGCAGCCACAGCTGCTCTGGGCACCCTGTGCCAGGGCCTGCCCACCCTCACTGGAATTTAATCCAGCTGGATGCAGAGCAATCAAACCAGATCACTCACCAGATCCTGAGTAAACTTCTCTAAAAGTCCAATTTTACCTTATTTAATGGTTACTTTAAAATTTTTTAATTTAATGGTAATTTAGAAACAGCCACCAGGGACACCTGCCTGGATCAGGACAGGTGAGGGTGGGGAGTGGTGGAATGGTCAGACCCTCTTGCAGGGGTTACCACAGAACCTGCTCTTCCAGGGCTGGAATGACTCCCTGACCTTCCAGCAGCAAATATCCCCAGTCCTCTGCCCCACCAGGAATAAATCCACCCATTTCCTCCCAGTGCTGTTCACCCCACGGGCACCACTCACCCTTTTTCTCTTCACTAACAATGATTCTCCACAGTTACCACACAAACAACTGCTGGTTTTTATTGTCCAGGCTGGTGTTCACAGCTGCTTTGTGAGACCTGAAAAAAGCCCCACATGCAGAAATCTTCCTGCTCTCCCAGCTCCACCAACACGACAAACCTCACCTCCCATCCTCACAGCATCCACAGCCCCAAAAATACCAACACAGCACCTGCTGAGGGGCTTTTATCACTGCACATCTCAAAAAAACAGAAAATAAATACAGAAGATGCACAGGCAAATTTTGCTTCTGGAAGAAAACCATTTCAATCCTCTGGGATTTTTTGTGGCTTTACCTGTAGCTACTTTTACCCCTTTCACCCTTAAATTGTTAAGCCTTGCTGTAACATTCCACACCTTACTTGCTTTGGCAAGGTTATCCAGGATGGATGAGGGGCAATTCAGCCTCACATTCCTTCCTCTTTCTGGATAAAAATGTTCTGGGATTAAAACCCACCCTGCTGTCCTCCAGAACTGGAAAACAGAAATAAAAGATACCAACCATGACAGCTGTGAATTAACAAAGAAATGCTGGCTTCATCTAAAAATCCACATTAAAAAGCACTGAGATTTATTTAAGCCACACAATCAGAAGATTGGGATGGTCTTTGGAGAAGGGAATGCCAGAACCTTCCATGCTGAGATGGCCATGGTTAACAGGAGACAGCACAGGTGACCCCCCATCCACCCAGAACCACCTGCAGATATTTCAGTATTTTACCTGCTCTAAACAACACAGAGTGAAGGATAAAACAGGAAAAAGCACCTGGGAAACCTGACTGCTCCAATTTCTCAAAAACAAACTTTAATTCTTATTTCTGAATACCCAGCAACCTTTGGCCACATACTCACACCTCCCCATACAGGAGCACTCAGCACATCCCAGCTCCAGCAGGCTGAGGGACTCTGGAATTCCATCTCCT